TTTGGTTTTCCTTGATTCGTGGGCCGATTTTTCTTCCTGTTTCACCAATATACTTCTGTTAACCGTTGCCACATTTAATGTACTAAACTCTCCAGCAATCAAGTTTGTCAATCATCTTGTATTGCTTCGGCAGGCTGGCGAAAAGTGTTATCTTCTTCTTTGTTATCACCTTGATATTCCATTTTCTTAGTAACAGCCGCAATTTTTGGCTCTGTTCACAAGAGAGCAGACATATTCACTTTCGCTTGTCCTCCTGATTCATGATTTTATTTTCATAAAATCCGAGTTGAAATCTGCTCTTTATGACCCTTATACTTCTTTATAAGTTCTCTGGGGTACTTGTTGCTAAGTCAAATCTGAATCAGTTTCTCCAACTCCCTGTTTCAGAACTCAATGTCCGTTAGTCTTAAGCTCCTTATGATCATCTTCTGCAATCTTGGTTGCAGCTATTACTTATCGAATTCCTTCTCCAATTTGTCCATGTATAAAATTAATGTGAGAGGGGAGAGTCCAACGGTAGTCTAAATATTTGATTATACATATTAACGTTAAATTTAAAATAGGTGGTCGTTATTGCAAGTTTGATCGGTTTTGTTACAGACACCTTCCGTATCCGTTCTACCTCCAGGATATCCTCTTCTCGCTCCAATATCTCCAGCATGTCGCTTACCGTCCTCTCGTCTGGGATGTTGGTGTACATGGATTGCATGTCGAAACTTACCAACAAGTTTATCCCCACCAGCCCAATGTTCTGGATCTTCTAAGAAAATTCATATTAATCTCTCGTGGTATTCGAGAGTATGACATTTACTTTTGTAGCGTTTTTCCTTGCTTGTGTATCTTTGGTAGTCCATAGGCTGCCGGTAGTCTTGCGACATTTTTAATTAAAGAGTCCATCCTCCAACTGTCAATTCCTCCGTTATTATGCATCTCCTTTTGCATATCCCTTAGTGTCTCGTTGATCTTCATGGTTCGGTCCTTTCTTAGTATTTCATACGCTTTCCGGTCGCCTAGGGTACTTTCCATTTTCTTCATAAACCCTTTCCTGTCCATTAGCACAATCGCTCCTCCCTTAACCAGCTGAAGAACTATTTGGTCATTTTTTTGTAATTTTTTAGGTGTCCCGCGTATTGGCTCTTGATGTGCCAGGATTCTTGGAATTTTTTCTTGTTTCTTCTTAATATCTATCCCTATCCTAAATTTGTTAAAATATCGTATAAATTTCCAGAAAAGACAGGGCGGGAGGTGGAAATGGAAATAATTTCAAGAAGCCTGGCTCATACAGGGCCAGAGCGGATTCACTGGAATATGTAAAAAAAATACAAAAGCATGAGCAAATAGTTTTTCAGGCGGATAATGGAGGAGAAACGGTGATAATGGGCACGAAAGTGTTTACGGAAATTGTCTTGGTCTTGGTACCATAAATTAAAAAGTGCTTGATTTCTTACCCATTTAATTTTTACACTTGATATATAGTTAGCACTTTGCCTAGCTTAAGCTAAACTTTTTTAATATAAGCATTTTCTTTCAGGCTATAGACTTTTAGGTAAAAATAGTTGTTTTGGCTATTTAATTGATGGGGATTTATAAAGATCAACGTAATCTGTATTACATATTTTTAAATTTAGCAAATAATTTATCATATTTTTATAATGTGCCACTAATATTTTTAATAACTAATGACCAATTCATAGAATAAAAATGATTATTCTTGGGTGCTAATTTCGCTCATTACTGGCAGTTATTCGATTTAAACTTTATAAATGATGACCACTTTTCGATTATTAAACTTGCTGAAATCAGATTATAGTTCTTAAATTAATTTACACACCTTCCAATAAAATTTTGAGTTATGGTAGCTTGTTGGATGATTGCCTTTATTATATCCTCTAAGTTTTTTGTTATAAAGTAAAACACCTAAACCTTCTAATCTCTTCTAAGAAAATTTGGCTTAACCGATTTAATTTATAAGTTACTGAGCATAGTTTTATCACCTGCAAGTTAAGAGCGTAAAGGAGCATGTAAACGCCCTGTGCGTTGTTTATTATAGTAGGAGTCTAGCTGTCTTCTTGTACCATATATTACACTTTCTAACATAAAAATCTTA